ATCAACTTTGTAATCTAATGGTCTAAAGTTGCATGGTGACAATTTTGTGATTATTGAGAAGTCTCATGGCATTTATGAATGTTTAGATTGTAGATCTAATCCAAAGGTTAAGAATTGGTCTTACGGGTCTCACGAAAAACCCTTGGTCTCACATGATACTAAGTCTCTCTCTCTCTCTCTCTCTCTCTCTCTCTATATATATATATATATAGAGAGAGAGAGAGAGAGAGAGAGAGAAAGATAGATAGATAGATGGATGCGAGTTATTATGCAATCCTTTATACTTATACAATCAATACAACTCAATCTCAACCGTCCATTTTATTTGATGAATATGTGATTTCATAAAAGTTCAGATTATTTTCTAATATAAAGTATTGATCATATTCACAATTTCTATATTATGCATTATGATTTCATCTTAAGACTTTTAAGTCTTTATATATAAATGTATTTCCCTGCTCCATTAAAAGAAGTATTATAGATATATCAAAATTAAAACAAGTTCATATGTAAAATGTGTTTCAAAATAGTATGAATATATTGAAATTAATATCAATAAATTACATATTCCTTTCCTTCTGTTTCTAAAACCCAGGAAAACCAAACATATTCAAAAGAACACCAAAAAGGAAAGTTGAAAAAAGTTATAGAAATGAAGAATATATAAATATTAAACATTCTATTTTCTGATATTAACTCTTCCGGTAATACCATATTAGCCATGTTATTGTTACAAAAGGATTTGAAAGGAATGAAGCCTGGTCCGATGCAATCACCCTTCTTTTCAATATCACAAGAAAAAGAGTGAATGCATCGAACCAAACAATATCCCTCACAAACCACTACTTGCCTCCTTCTCTGAACAGACCATTGATTTCGTCTTCTTCTTCCTGTAAACCCTAATATTCGTTCATGTATGTTTAATCTGCACATACAGAACAATATGTGTGTGTAGTAGAGGTGCTCAAAAACCCGACCAACCGGATCAAACCGATCAACCCAACCCAACTCAACACAAAATAATTCAACCCGAAACAACCCAATGTCTAATCGAGTTATAAAATTGTCAAATCGTAGGTATTGGGTTAATATCGGGTTACTATTATTTGAACCTAACCCGATGAACCCGATATCCTTTTATTTCTTCGATTTAATATGATTGTTGTGTGATAACCGGGTCCTGATTATCACTCAAGGTAATTAATATGTGATTATCTGATTAAATGATTTCGTGATAGCATGATAAATTGTTATATTTGATCATGCTAGTGTGTGTGAAAATTATGTATATACATGTATGAGATTATGTGCATATGCAAATATATATATATATATGTATATCTATATATATATGTGTGTGTGTGTGTGAGATTATACACACATGCATATTATATGTGTGCATGATATGTATGGATGCATGCATGTGCATGAGAGATTTTGTGGAAAGGGGGCTGTTAGCCGACTTTCCTGATTTGGAAAGTATAAAAGGGAGGTTGAGCCTCCATATTTTCTTCTTCTTGCTTTGGCAAAATTGTGTGATTTTAAAAGACAAGAGAGTTGATCGGATTAATTCCTGTCTGGTGATTCAAGCTGATTTCAAGTATTTGGGATTAATTCCTGTCTGGTGATTCAAGCTGATTTCAAGTATTTGGTTTCAAAAGCTTGATAATGTGAGTGATTTCTATCTTTTGCATAAAATTATTATTGGTTTTGTATGAATCTTGTTTATATTTGGAAAGAAATCATATATTTGTTTAACGGTTTTTATCCGGACAAAGACTGACCGGATTAAGTTATATCGGACAAAGCTTGTCCAGATTACTTTTTAAATCGCTCAAGCCTTGGACGAGGTATTGTTCGGACTTGTTATCCGGACAAAGTTAAAACATTCTAAGTTTTAAACCGGTTAAAGGTTGGATGATGTATTGTCCGGATTGTTTAAATCGGTTAAAGGTTGGACGATGAGTTGTCCGGATTTGTAAATCGGACAAAAAGGGATGAGTATTGTCCAGACTTTATATCCGGATAACTTATCCGGATAACCTCTTATTTGGAATTTTCATGAGTTTTATATTTTAGACTTTTTACATGGTTTAAAATGTCTATTATTGGGTGTAATTATGGACTATAAAATGGGTATTTTATATATAAAGATATGTTCCTACCAAGCGTGGTGACGTAAGTCTGTTTTGGTACAGAACGGGATTTTTGGGAAATGTTTCTACCAAGCGTGGTGACGTAAGTCTGTTTTGGTGTGAAACTATAATTTGGGAAACCTTCCTACCAAGCGTGGTGACGAAAGTCTGTTTTAGTATGAAACTATATTTTGGGAAACCTTCCTACCAAGCGTGGTGACGTAAGTCTGTTTTGGTATGGAAGTGGATTTTGTAAATTGTTTCTACCAAGCGTGGTGACGTAAGTCTGTTTTGGTATGGAATTGGATTTTGTAAATTGTTTCTACCAAGCGTGGTGACGTAAGTCTGTTTTGGTATGAAACTTATTTTAAGTAATAGTTCCCCCAGACGTGGTGACTTTTGTCTTTTCTGGTTTGAAACTGGGAATGGGTACTTTCAGACGTGGTGACTTATGTCTGTTCTGATAAGTAGCCCTGTTTTGATGGAGGAATAAGGGTGACATATCAAGGAGAGGTGTACTTGGAATAAGGGTGACATTGTCATATGTGGATA